ATAATAGGATAATTAAAATAGTATAAAAAGTTAATTTAGATTGTTCTTTACTTAATATAAAAAAATTATAAAGATTGATTAAAATTTGAATGACTTTTATTAGAAATAATTATTGATTTTATATTGATATACCAATCTTTTTGTATTGGTCTATATAATTTTTAAAAATTAGAATATATAAAAATATTATTAAACTAATATTTAAATTATTTAGTTATTTTATTTTCTTTAGAAATATTCAAGTTTTAATTTTATATAATATATTATTATTATTATTATTTAATTTTTTTACTGGAAAATAAATATTTTAAAAATAAAATAATAATAAAAAATATAATACTTGAATTTTTTATTGATTATAATTAATAAAAAACAAATATTTGAATATTATTATAATTTAAAAAGTTTTAAATCTTATTACAAAATTGCTTAGAATATTTAATTATTCAAGTATATAGAAAGTTAATATTTTCATAATCTTGCTACACCCTCGTTACACGTGATAAAATATATCAGATGACAGGGTGGAACGATCAAGATATTCTCATTTGAGTTTTGCATGTTTGTAACGCACTAATTAATTAAACTCGGTAAGTCGAAAAGCTCGATAAAGTTCAAAATATTCGGTTTATCAAATTCTTTATATCATTAAACTTTGCAATAAGCCGAATATACATAGAATTTAGAATCGAAAAAACTTTGGCTTAACGAGTTTGCCTTGTTCATAGTGCAAAATGCCTCGGGTCTCTTTCACGGGAAAGTTAATTAATAAAAAAGGAAAATTATTAGAGGAAAAAGGGGGCGAATTACGATAGCTGATTAGTTTATTGTTTCTCTATATTAACGATCGATTCGATACAATATAAACAGAAATAATATATTCGATTTCAACAACCAACCAAAAAATCATTCTTATATTTATATGGATAACTAACTATTAATAGTTATATATGTTATGAAAAAGCGAAAGAAAATTATTGACATGAATATTGCAACTACTAGTACAAAAATAATTAATTACCCTAGCAATGTTATATTTAGATTTTTTCATTATTATTATTGTTATTATTATCATGAATGTTGTTGAGCTTCATATTTAGCACGAGATTGTTCAAACAATAATTCCTGCTGCCGCAATAATTCTTCCTCAGTCATACCAGAATTTTCAAGACGCGAGCTCTTTTTATCACGATCCTGTAAATTTGATGAATTTTGTTAAAAGTTAGAATTTTAATAATAAATTATTCGTTTTATGTCTAAAAAAATATACCTTTTGTAATTTTTTGTGTTCTTTAAACACTTCTTGTACTTCGTTGAGATAGCTTTCAAATCCTAGTGCCTAAATTTTTTTCAGAAGTACAATAGAATACCATAGAACGAAATAAAATATCGTTTGATTAGATTAATTTATGAAGATAGATAATGAATGAATGAATGAACAAACGAAGAATACCTGAAGTGCCGAAATCACATGTTCTGCGGCAATTGTTTTTTTCGATTCCTTCTCGCATATTTCATTTGCTTCAGAAGCAATTAAATGGATAAATTCTGTCAAGAAAAAAATTCAAAAAAGTCGATAGTTGTGTTATAATCTTTATGGATGAATTATCAAAAGATAGATTTTTGTAAAATACATGAATAGCAAAATGGGTATGTACGTCGAAAAAGACACTACTAACCTACACAACAATCTATTAATAGATCTCTTGTATCTTTAGCGCAAACAATATCTGCGGGGAGCATTTCAGTGATAAGTTTTTGAACCGTCGCTTTATTCGGCCAATGTCCACCATACAATTAATATAAAAATTAAGAAAAAAAAACCAAACACATTCGGAAAAAGAATGACAAGTCAATAAAAAATTTTTCAGCGACAAATCAAGATCGTTGTTGGTAACCCGTTAATTTGCAGGTATCAAGTTGAATTATAAAGCCGCATTCATTCAACAGAGCATTTTTCAAACAGTACCTTTTGGCAACGACAACTCGTCATCTATACCACCAGCTGCTTCATGTTCGTCACTCATTGTGAAAAGTGTCTGTGTGTGTGCTAACGACAAATGATGTAGACTAATTTAACATTCAATTCTTGTGTAGCAAATGTTGTCGTCGTCATGGCGGTATTCAAGGATAGCAATTGGTGTCTTTATATAAGAGAGAGGACAGGTGGGTGCCGGCTTTTCACAACAATCCACTGTTCAAGTGAGAAAATTTCTGTGGCAGGTAGTGACGCAACACATGGGTGGCTTTGAAAGGGTGCGTCATGTGCGGAAATGGTTGGCCTTCATTCCATTCATGTCACATGATCTCTATATACCACTTTAAAAAAAATTGCTTGCAAAATAGCAGTAAAACAACTATAGTATTATAATTCATTATGAAGAAAAACGCATGTTAAATATATCTTTCTCTTAAAATTTAATTAATTTCACGGCGTTTTTATCAATAACGATAATAAGTGATCAAATTATTTTTTACTATATCAGTAATGAGAATAATAATTGATGCTAAATTAATACTAAACGTAAGGTGGTAATACTAAGTGACACCAAAGACACAAAAAAAGATCGAATCCAAAAAATTAGTGACACGCGAAAAATTTCCCTATATAAATACAAGCAAAATTTCCAATTATAATTACAACAACAAAATTCTCGCTATTAGATGATTATTCTCCGTAAACATCAACATTAGCTCCACTTTCATTATCATCAACAGCATCAATAACTTTCATCTGGTACAGTGGGTGGTGTGGTACTTACACCGTGTTGTTGTGCCGCCCTTATGGCTACATAATGATCTTGATAAACTTTGGTTTTTATTCTGTTTTGTGTTTTCTCGATTCGTCATCATTGTTTTTTTGTTTTTTAACAAGTCAGCGCGTTTATCTATAGATGAACGATTTTCATTGTTTTTTCTCCTTCTGTATCACCACTACACATATACTATAAACACAAACATATAAAGGGACGCGAATCACCTTAACGAGGCTCTCAACTATAAAATCAACAGCAATCGCAACTGCGTTCTTACCGTTTACCACCTCCGTTACTGTTAATAATACAACTAATCTATTTAGAAGGTTAAATACTGATTATTGTATTACCAAGTTACCACAAAACAAAAAAAAAATAAATTCTTCATTAGTAAAGCCTTTAAATTCTCCACTAGTAAGGCCTCCATTTCCAATTTTCCAACTTATTGATAATAACGATAATAATAATAACAACAACAGCAACATGGTGTCGAATGATAATAATATGATAACCAATAATAACAACAACAACAATAATAATAATAATGATGATGATAGTAGTATGATATCTAATAAAGAAAACTTGCCTCAAAAACGTAATTCTGACATGGCTGCTCTATCCTCGTCACGTCAAACGACTAAAAGACCAATTTTAATGGATGAATTAACTCCGCCATCGACACCACAACAAGAACGCGAACAAATGTTTTCGTCTTCGCCTCAACTCAAAGTTCAACTAATGCATAAGAATGCTCAAATGCCTCGTCGTGGAAGTGGCGGTGCGGCTGGTTACGATCTATACAGGTAAATCATTCAATTTTCGTCTTTTGGATTACTTGTAAAATGGACAACCAATCCGAATATAATCACATTATAGTGCTGAAGACACAGTAATTAGTGCGCGAGGAAAAGCATTGATTTCAACAGGATTAGCAATTCAAGTACCCTATGATGCTTATGGTCGTATTGCACCTAGAAGCTCACTTGGTTTGTCTTATTTCAATTAAATAATACGCTATTTTTGTTTGTAATAGTCATATTAAATAAATCTATACGTATGTGAAAAGCTTCGAAAAACTCTATTGATTGTGGTGCTGGTGTAATTGATGCTGATTATCGAGGCGAAGTCAAGATTCTCTTATTTAACTTTGGGGACTCGGATTTCCCAGGTAAGTTTAGACTAGTATTATTAGATATCTTAGAATAATAATAGATCCTTATTTTTAACAATCGATGATGTAGTTAAAACAGGAGACCGTATTGCCCAACTAATAATAGAACGTATATATACCCCGGAAATAGTTAAGGTGGACGTAAGTACTGCTGTCAAATCAATTTTACATTTATAATCTACTAAAAATTTTTCATTATTTTTATTTTCTTTAAAAGGAATTGGACAATTCACCACGAGGAGATAAAGGGTTTGGTTCAACTGGCTTACGATAAACATGATGAATGTGATAATTTCTTGATAGTAGAAATAATAATATTTATAGTTTATAATAGTAATTATCTATATTAAAATAATGCACAACTTAGTATTATTATGTTATAACAATTATGTATTTTTCTTGTTACAAATACAAATGTCTTTTGTTTTAAATTGTCTAATTTATTTCTGATGATCTGTTTAATATTTCAATCGCTTTTCGCAAGTTATAGTCCGTCTCTCTCATAACTTTATTCGAAAGGTCCGGATCCCATCCACACTTGATCAACCATAAAAACTTTCGCTTTCGCTTCTCTTCATCAAATCTTTCCTGCCATTCTGCTTTCACCTCTTCTTCAACCTCGACTTTTGCGCCCTGATCGATTGATTTTGTGGTCACAATAAACCCACCACTAATAGGTCGATGATCCGAAACTTTACACTCGTATCGTTGATAATTCAATTGTTTTATCTTGTTGCCGCGCCAGAGTATTCGATCGCACCATGCAGGTGTTCGTTGTTTTTCCGAGGTATCGTAAGTATCTTCACCGGGATTATATTTGTATGTAGGTGCAAAATTCAGTTCACCCTCGGTGAACGATTTCAATCGGAATCCTGGATTTTTTAGTCGTTGTTTTATGAGTTGATCGTTCTCACGGAGAATTGAGAAATCTTCGTCGCGTATTTTGGCAATTACCAAGTCACGTGGTAGGTCGATTCGATAGTTTAGATCACCACTAAAGAAACATATCTCGTGATCTAAAATATTTGAGCCGTCACCGCCATCCACAAATACTTGGCTATACTCATTCCATTCGTTGTGACTTGCTAGTGGGGGAAACTCTACTGAATCTAGGATTTTGCCGGTGTCTGTGTTTCTTTGCGAAGTGTGAGCTTGTCCTGCAGCTAAATGACAGTTCACAAAACAGATTGATGAATCATCGTAAATAAACCGTGTGGCAATAGCGCCCTAACAACAAAAATTCATTATAACAATATACAAAAAAGAAACAGCTACCTAAGTTATTAAAAAAAATAAAATACCTTATTTCCGTGATAACCGCCTAAGCCAGTCTTACACTTTGTTACATCGATATTCTTTAATCGATCCCATTCACTCTCTTTGATAAACACGTCCGTAAATAATCCTACCAAATTTTCGGATCTGACTAATTTATAGTTGCAATTATTACTGAACCCAGCGTGTTCGCGCACAGCTTTTACCAACTTTTCGTGCCAAAGACGATATCGTTGAGTGATATTTTCGGCTAGTGCTTTGTCTGCCTTCTTTTTTGGCATTAGCATCGTTTCTTAAAATTCCATGAAATCATTATTGATATAGTAAAAGAATAGAACAAGTCAATGGATTTTTATGTAAACTTACTAGCAGTCATCTTCTTAGACTCCAAATCTATAATCTCTTGGAATCCAACGACTATCAAATCTGGCGAATCAACACTCGTAAACCAAAGACTTAGGAATTTTACGTCTTCAGCTGATTTTTTTTCTAGATCCGCGGGCTTGGACGCATCAATATTCCATGAACATATTAGGACTTTGATATCGCGGTATCTGCAATACTCCTTCTCGCGCTCAACCATTTTGTTTGCTTTTATTGGATTAGATATTGAGAGATTAAATCATAATAGGCTAAATCAATAGAACAAAGAAAATTTTAATAAATAAAACTCACCAAACCAATCCTCTTGCATCAACCCATCCCACACTGAAATATACCCTTCCTCACTCATACTCCCAACTTGCATTCTTCCAATTTTATCTCGACAAAATCCTTCATCATCCAACAACAATCCGGTGACTGTAGTTTTGTGAGCTTGCCATTCCTTCAAAACAACCCAGGGTCCTTTTATTTTTCTGGCATCATATACATAAATTTTTCCTGTTTTAAAACCAGCCCAAAGATATTCTCCGACACCCAACAAACTTGTAATACAATAGTTCGAGACTGACACAACAGATAATTTATTTAGAGTATTTGCATCCCAAACAGTCATCATTCCATTATCATGTCCAACATACACGACTTTTGTATTACTTGTTTGAGCCATGCATGTGATGTTTCCGACATCATGTCCCACGTCTCTTTTAGGAGGGATGGTTGATCCCTTTTGTTCCTCGACTGGATTAAATATTTCTATATTTTTGCCTGCTGCCATCCATAGATTATGGCCAACAATTAGTGCGCATGTTTGTTTGCTTGCAACGCGTAGTGGTTTCGGGGTTGAATTCAGAGAAATAGCTTCATGCTCATTATCAGACGACCATTTATTCAGTTTGCCATTCTCATCAATTGTCCAAAGTTGCGATTCATAACGTAAAATGTAAGATATCGCGTGATTATGCGCTTTTGAGATCATTTCCACGATTTTTCCTGTATTGATATCGATAGCAATAAGAGCGCCATCCTGAGTTCCACACCAAATGAATCTCCCAACATCCTCTAGACGCCTTGCAGGTCGAAGTACTAAGCAAGTGACTTTAGAATCACCATGAGAAATTGTCGCTGTGTTCTCGGCAGTTTGTAATTTCCAAACTCGAGTGCTAGATAAAGCGGTCACCGCATAGTCACCAGCAATCCCGAATGCCCGAATTGTGCCTTTATGGTGAATCTCTTTTTTCAATCCCTCGAAATGAGGCGCACGACGATTCGCATGCAATGAGTCAGGAAATCCAGATGCCATTTGTGTTTGATCTAGAGTAGAATTATACTCTGACCGTTCGTCACTAGAATCGATTTCCCCAATCGAAGATTCCGAACCTGAATTGTCTTGGGTTGGCTTTCTTTTTGGAACAGTAAGTTTAGACGGTCGTCGTTTCAATTCAGACTCGTCAATAGTCATACTTTTTGGTGGCAAAGCAGGTCGATCTGGAAGTGGAGGTCGATGATTGGCAGAAGGTTTGACATTAGGGAGGGGTGGCTTTCGTGGTGGTGATGGAGTTGCTGCTTTCTTTACTTCGGATTTTTCAGATTGTTCGGGAATTTTGGTTGGTCGACGTGGTGGAAGAGCAGGTTTTACTTCTTGCGTAGTATTCTGTTCGTGCATTGTATCATTTCTTAAACCTGCTCTCCGAATTGGTTTTTTAGGAGGATTGGAATTAGAAAATGCATGTCGGGGGTTTTCAGAGGAATCATGACCTTCAACTGATTTATCAGTATCATCAAATGGTGAGCGAAAAGGCTGCTGATTTGTCCTTGTAGGAAGCGGAGGAGATATAGAAAATGATATTGTATTTTTTGGCTTTGCAATTGGTTTAGGTTTTGAAGATAGTTCGTTTTTGGGCGCTGCTGCATAATTATTTTTGTCAAAATGTAATACTTCTGGTTCTTCATGAATTATATTTGAAGAAAAGGGTGAAAATTCTTTACTACTGTCACTATTATTAACAGCAACCATATCATTTTCATCGGCAAATGGATCGAGTGCATGCGTGTCTTCAAATGGATTAGAATCGGAATCTACTGATGGTAAAGGATTATTATTATTGTTTGTAGTAAAACCGATATTAGTAGCGCTGCGATTAACAATGCGCCTGTTGTTATTGTTGCTGCTGTTGTGTCCATCATTATAATTCATATTTCTCGATTTCAAAGATGCTTCAACTTGATTAGTGAGATTTGAAATATTCGAAGTAGTATAAGTTCTTTTAGATGATGAATTAGAAGTAGTAATGATTGATCTCGTATTATTATTACTATTATTATTATCATCATCATCATCATCTGCTATTTCTCGTTCTAGTTCCCAATATTAGAAATCAATTTTGATTTAATGGGTTATTATATTTTTTTAAAGGTCAGATTAACTCATTGTTATCGATGATCAAAAAATACCTGTTTTAGCTGTCGCTGATGCAAATGCTGATTGTCTAATGTTATTGTTGGTTTTCTTTTTGAGAGTTTCACCCGTCCCAACGGGTGAAGAAGATGATGATGGTAATTTTGTTTGTTGTAATGATAGCTGTTCGAATCGTGTTTTCAACGAACTAAACGTATTGGGAACATTATCATCCTCCTCATTATTATTGCTATTACCAATACTTTTCTGTTCAGCGTCAGTATGACTTTTGTCCACCTGTGCTAACAAGAGAAAATAATGAGCAAGTTGCAGCAATCGTCAACATCAGCACAAGAACCACTCGAACTCGACTTACCAGATCTTAGATGAGGTACCGGAGGCGATAACTTTTGGCTCATTTTCCTTGTAACTGCCGTTGTTGAGGTTAATGTCTTTCGTTTTTCGAGCATTAATTAAAAAACAGTGCAAAAATGATTTCTTGAATAAATTAAAAAAAATATAATTAGAAGGTTTAATAACTATGGCAGTTTATTTCAAAAGTTCTATTCTTTCAAATATTAGTTGATTAGCGTCTAGTATATAGATAGAATGTGTTGTCGGATACACGTGGATCGAAATTTAGAAATGCATGCAATAGATCTAATAATAGATCTTGGACTAAAAAATATAATTGGGCTATCCGCCAGTCGATTTAATCAATATCACAAATTGAAGCAGATCATTATGCAAAGTTCTCGAACTAAGCATCACTTTTTTAGATATTATAAAAACTTAGCTAATTACGTACATCATGTGGAAATTTGGAAAGGTCGCTGTTACGTTTACCTTGCACGAACGCCGCATTTAATTTAACTGTTGATTAGTATTGTTGAAACTATCTAGCTGGCCATTTGAGAGCTCTCGGTTTCAGTTGATTTTGCTCGAGAGCACGAGTATCCAATTTTGTATAGTGGACGCTTTCAGAGCTTTTCTATATACAGTCGCACCCCTTGGGACCATAGCAAAAAAAAGTGCAAAGTGTGCATTTAGAGAGGGTGTGCATTCATAGAGAGCAAAAAATATAGAGCTCTTATAAGCTGGGCCAGATTATACCGTGTGCACTTATTCTTGAACAAATGACAAGAGCCTCGCTGCCTCGTTGTGCTTGAAAAATTTGCTAGAGACGGAACTATAGAATAAATAAATAGCTTATCTAAATAGTTCCAATTACTGTTTCCCGCCAATATTGTGCTAATGGTGTTCTTCAGTTATAATATCTCGCTCTAATAAAGTTGCATTGAATTTTCGACAACATTCAGAAAAGTGCTCTGTATAGTACCCTCCCCTGTAAAAATTTAAACCTTAATTTAGCCTCAAGCTTGTAAATTATTAACTAAGGTTTTTAAGAAATTACACTGTGAATTTAAATTTATTTATTTGCGAAACGAATATTGATTTTATTAAAAAAAGATGCTTTAAATTAAGGTTTAAATTTTTTACAGGGGAGGGTTAGCGTCGAGCATTTTATCCAGGTGACTCACGCATGACCAATTAAAAGTCCAGAACAAGGACAAAGATTTTTGCTTATCATCCTACACTACATGTATTATTAAGTGTCGAATTTAACGTTTGTTGTATTATTTTACAAGATTATGATTTTCTTTTAAGTTTATGACTTGCTGTATTAATATACGAAATAATTCCCATTTAATTGAATGACTACAAAAATGACAATAAAATTCTATTATCGTAACGAAAATCTTCAGTGAACTCTTGTCACGACTATATGCGTTTTTGCTTAGGAGGCATTTTCATAAGAATATGAATAAATATAATGATAATTTTTGTTCAAATGAAATGGGGGATAACCATGCAACGATCTAAAAAATATATACATCTATAAAAATTCATTTTATTCTAAAATTCCGTTTATATCGTTATCTATATATCTGAATTTTTCCAGGTCCCTCCTCCAGAACAGTCTATACTTGATGTAAATGTCCGTGCTCTGTTACTCGTGAACTGTCATTGTTTTGCATATTAAGATCCAATATCGATTATTTGATCAATCTATCTTGTTACGAATCATCGCGCCCGATTCACTCCTTACTTTTGCGAAGAAATTATTTCTTGAGATGCCGCTGCTGTATAACTTTTAATGCATGTAATAACAAAGAGATTGCTATATAGACTAAATATCTTTATAGTGCCGAAGCTTTACATTTGCATGTAAATTTCATCCTTATCCCGAATTATGTCATTCTTAACAATTGGCTGTTCGCAGAAGATACAAATCAACGTGAGAAATCATTTGATTCTAGAATTTGTTAATGATTAAGACAAATACCAGCTGAACAAGAAATTGTTTTCTTCTCAATACAAATGGTAGTTCAGCATCTACAAAGAGCAGAAGAGGAATTTTGAATATGAAAAATTTAACTATCTTTTGTATTCTATATTAGATAAGTATAGCTTTTCTATTATTAATATATATTAAGCAGATTGCTATCACTTCTCAATTTTTTAATTATTATATTATTCTTTTATTAATCATTATAATTAAATACATACATATATTACTTAGTATAGTCACAAAAGTATTTAATATTATTATATCTCCAGATTACTCTAAGAAAATATCTTGCTTCATCATGAATTTTATAATAATTACAAATAGACAAGTTGAGTTATTGCTAGGTAAAACAGTCAGAATAATATTATTTATTAATTTTATTTTCATCTTAAGCTTTAGAGATTAGTTTGACTATTTATAAAGTATTTACAATATGAATATTTAACTATTCAATCTTCTAACTTTAATTTCTTTAAAACTTTATTTTAGATAAAGAACTTTTCTTCAATAATAGAAATTTATATTAATATTTAACTTTTATTTACTAATTTTTAGTATTATTTTGAGATATTATTATTGAAAAATTATCTGAAATATTCATTTTTATATTAATTCAAATAAATAAATTATTATAATATTGAAAGTATTCATATTTTGAAGTTAATAATTTATAATGACACCAATATTTAATAGTAAATTCTCTCCAATCAAAAGTTTATTAAGAATTTTAATAATAAATTTATTAAAACTTTTTTTCTAATTTTGAATAATTTTTTCAGATAAGAATATTATTTTAATTTATATTTTTTCTTTAAAGATTTTGATATTTTTTATTTTAGAAATTGAGTTTACTATTAGAAAAAAAATTTTTTCAAAACCTATATTAATAATTTATCTAAATAATATAAATTTAAATTCATGATCTATCAAATATTTAATAAAGAAAATTATAATCTTTTAAGTCTTGATCTTTAATCTTGAACTTATTATTAATTGATTTATTAAAGAAGATTTCTGAATTTTTATTATTATTATATTTTAATTAAGTATTTTATTATTTATAGATAAATTTAATTAATATTTTTTTATTTTTTTCATTCTAATTAAATATCATAATATTTTTCTTGAGATCAATTTTAGTATTAATTTTAATATTAATTTTATTTAATTAATTTATTTCTATAATCAAATTATAAATATAAGTTTTAATTATATTCAATTTTGCTAAAATTATAATTTTATTATTAGTAATAGAAAAGTTATTAGTAACTTTAAGAGAATTTTCATTAAATTTTTATCTTAAAAATTTATAATTAATAATATATTCAAATACTTTAGTATTAATAATTAAATTAACAGAAATCTTGTTAATTTTAACTTTATATTAAGCTAAGATAATTTTAATTTTTTGAATAAATATTATTTTTTTTAAGATTCTTTTTTTATTTCTTTTAATATTTGAATTTTTTGTTTTAATAAAGTTTTAATAAATTAAATAATAATAATATTAATCTTCTAAAATACTAAATCTTTGAGAATATTATAGATTTAACTTTCTTTATTGATATAAATAAATAAATTCTTTTTTTTTTCTTTAGGTTGACTTTATCTTTATTTGAAATTTTTGATAAAAATAAGATAATTTCTTTAATTTCTCAATTTTCTTATCATCTTGAGTTATTTTAATATATTTTTTTTAACTAGATAATTATAAGTTATTAGATTATATAAAAAAGTTATTTAAGAAACTTTTAGTATTTACTTATAAAATAATAGTTAAGTTTTAAATTTAAATTAAAAGAAAAGTAATATTTATATTTTAAAAATTATTAAATTACTGATAAGTATTCTGAAATTCTAATTTTACTAATTATTATTATTAATATTAGTATTCTAATTTTAATTATTTTAATTTCAAGAGATATTTTGATTATTATTCTGTAAATTTTCAGGCTAGAGATTATAAAATATATTTTACTAATATAATCTTTATCTTTATAATTATAATAAATAATATTAGATTTATTTTTTTATTAATTTTATTACTAATTATATTATTATTCTGATTATTATATTTTTTATCAAATTCTATATAGTTTAATTTATTAATTAAATCTTATTTAGTAAGAGTATTTTATTTTCTAGTTAATTAAGCTTAAATCTAATAATAAGTTATTTAAGAGAATTATAATTAGCTTTTTTAATATTTTTAATAATTTTAATAATATTTTTTATAATATTTTCAGTATTTAAATTAATTTATTTTTGAATTTTTAATTTGAGTTCTTTTTTAAATATTTAAATTTTATATTTTTTTGAATAGATTTTTTTAGAATCTATTTTGATTCTTAATTTTATAAAATAATTTATATATTTTTTTATAGTTTTAATTTATTTAAGTATTTTTAATTCATCTTATTATTATTATATCTTATAAAAAAATAGAATTTTAAGATAAAATATTATAATTTATTATAATTTTTATTAATTTATTCAGTTAACTCATAATCTTTACTAAAAGTTTATTAATTAAATTAAGTAATAATTAATTCTTTTAGATATTCTCTTACTATCTTGATTTTTCTGTTAATTATAATTTTATTAACTTTTATAACTATTTTGAAGTTATATAATTATTTAATAAGATCTTAATTATTTTTGAATTTATAAATTAGGATAAGAATCTTTTTTATCTATTAAACTCTTATTAATTAAATTAACTTATTAAGAACTTGAATAATATCAAAAAATTTTTGAGAGCATAGTTTTGCATAAATTTTCAGATCCAAAATTTACACAAAACTTCAAATCTAATAACAATTAGTAAAGAAAAAAAAATTAAAAAATCTGTGCAGATCTGTAACAAAATATAGATCTGTGCAGATTTTTTAATTTTTTTTTTAAAATTCTGTGCAAAACTTCATAATATTAGTTTCAAGTAGCAATAACAATTTCAAGTAACTATAGTAGTAATAATTTTAAGTAACTATAGAATTCATAAATTAAATAATAGTAAAGATATTTATTTTATTATAAACTATATATATATAATAAAATATAAATTTA